GTGAGGTGATTCAAGTGGAATGTGTTGATCTGCTACGTCACTTTGTGGTCGGTAACATCCGGAACAAAGCCGTGCGTGTGTTCCGTGCTTTTGTTATTCAAGGACATCAGCATCCGAATGAACCAATACCTTTTGCCATAGCGTCTATGGCAATGAAACTAGGTCCCTTTGATTGGGCGTTAGGTGTAATGGCCATTTTGCTCGCCACCACCGACAAACCACTTGGAAGGGGTCTTCAGTCACGTATCCGCTACACGGCCCATGATGCTCGTGGCCGAGAAGTTCTTGCTGTGCTAGAGAAGTGTGACTGGAGGCATGAGCGTCTCCTTTCCGCTACTGAGCTTCAAGAACCTGAGATTAACAGCAAAAACCATAGCGGTAACGGCGGAGCTGCTGGTGCTACCTGGACAGATCCCAAAAACAACCAGAGAGTAGAGCGGAGTGTTACATGGTTGGGGGCGTTGCATGTTGCACTGACGGAGATGGGTGTGGAGCCTGGTGTCATGGAGGCCTATAAGAATGCTCTTCTCCAGGCCATTGAAAGGGCGAAGGAGCACCGCGGCAGTACGGAGACCAGTTAAAGTGGATCGTCGGATTTATAGTACGCGATTCCCCTGTATACTCCACTTGAAATTCACCTATTTGTCCAGGAAGAATAGGTGTGGAAGGGAGGCGAGAAGAGGCATACAGGGGTGTGAGGCGGCGCGTGAAAGTCAATGAGTCCAACGCAGTGCGAGTTCTTGGCGAATCTTCGTCGGAGGTGAGGCGCGTCAAGGAGATGAGTTGGAGGACTAAATGAAAAAAAAGAAAAAAAAAAGAAAAAAGAAGGAAAAAGACATGTGGGGGGATGATTTATATTTATATATATATATATTGCATGTATGTGAAATGAAGAAGGACGGGGGAGGCATTAGAAGCGAACGGACATTTAAAAAAAAAAAAAAAAAACATAATAATTTATAATAAATAATTGAAAATGTCTGAGAAACAACAGAAACAACAAGCAAAAAAAAAAAAAACAATTTAACTTGAGGGGCCCTACCGAGAAGAATGGAGTGGATTTGAAGATGAGGGGGGAAGATCGACGAAAGGAAAAGGAAAAAAAAAAAAAAAAAAAAAACAGAAGGAAAAGAAAAACTTCTTGTTATTTTTTGTTGTTGTTGTCTTTTTGTTGTTTTTTTTTGTTTGTTTTTTGTTTTTTGGATGAAAAAAAAAATGTTGTGGGAGGACGTGGGGTGGCGGGGGACATGTCACGGCGGCTGCAGTGGAATAGACGCCACGCCTATGAAATTACATGCACGCAAGATGCCGCCGAAATCATAGTGAGGTCTACGATCATCATGCTGGATTTCTTGGAGCAGCCGCTTGCACGTGTGGGCGTAATAGAGGCGAGAGGGCATGAGTTGCGGAGAGGAGCCGGCCGCCGGAAAAAGAAGAAAAAAAAAAAGAGAAAGTGAGGGGCAGAAAACAGAAGAATGAGAGAAAGAGAGACGATAATTCAAAGTGAGGAAAAGGAAAACAAAAACGCGGCGAGGATGGTCGTCTTGATTTTTGTTTTTTGTTTGTTTTTGTTTTTGTTTTTTAAGGGAAAAAAGTTTTTCTTCTCTTGTCTTTTTTTTTTTTTTTTTTTTTACGCAGTCGTACTCTCCTTTTCCTCGCCTATATCTTGCGTGGTTGTTTGTACGTGGATATGCGTGTGTTTGCGTGTGTGTGTGTGTGTGTGTGTGTTTTGTCTTTGCCGTGAATGGGTTCTTCCTCCCCCTCTCCTCTCCTCCCTCCTGCTCTAATGCCATGCCATGTGTGGGAGGGAAGGGAGGAAGGAATATCGGTGGAAACCGCGAGGGGAAGAAGAGAGTACGAGATCAATCGAAAGAAGGGGCATATGGCGTCTCCAAAGGAAATGTATGAAAAGGAGTGTCGTGCTCTTGGCGTCCCGCCAAATAGTGGGCTGCTACGTATGTTACCAGAGAGCACTGTGAATTTAAGTGGCTTGAGCGTCATGCACTTGGGACGTAATTTTCTTGGGGATCGCGGCGTCGTGCCGTTTGTTCATATCATTGCACAAGCCTCGTCCCTCCACACTCTTAATCTGCGAGAGAATGGGATAGGGAATGAAGGTGTGAAGGTGCTCTGTCGCGGACTGCGTCGGCTTCCGGCGTTGAAGGTGCTGGAGTTGAGCGGAAACCCCTTCACATTCCTGGCGGCGCGGCAGCTCGTTTATCTTTGCGAAGACAGCGCTGTCCTCAGCGTCATTGGTGTGGAGGGCACGCTTATGACGGAAAAACTCAAAACGAGCATCATTCATCGCATTCGAGAGGCCGTAAAGCGGCGGGAGAAACGAAAGCAGCTGTCACAACAGCCCTCAGTCGATCGAGATGACGGTCAAAAAGACATGGCTGAAGGTGTGGCAGAGGCGGCAACAACACTGCAAAGCAGGAATACAGGTGGTCTTTGTTTGCGAAAGTCCGTTCTGTCACTTGTTTCTCAGGACTCCATGAGCACCGCGATGAGTAGTGAATTCAAGAAGAATGAATCGGATGACCAAGCGGGACTACGCGATGCGAGTGAATTCGCATCGCCACGCCCACCGTTGCCTCCACCGCTGCCAGATCACGCTCATCAATCACCCCTTTGGTTTGATGCGAGCGAAGATGAGGAACAAAAGGAAGAGGAGAAAGAAATCTCTGTCGCTACGGCGGAGAATGATGAAAAATTGATGATTGATACGGCGGGCGGAATTTCTTTCCTTGTGGAGGTGGAGGAACTGAGGGCAACTTCAGTGGAGAGGGAACTGAGAGCGCATGAGGAAATGCTTCCTTGGCAGGTGTCAAGAGCCGATGACCCTTTAAGATCCCTCCAGTCGACCCATACACGCATTGCCTCTCATCGAACAACAGAAAAACGATCTGAGAGTGGCACTGCCATTAGTTTCCCTTCGTCGTTCACGCTAGAGTTACGTACGGCGGAGGCGGAAGGAAAGTTGGCGGAATGTACAAAATCCACAAAAGGAGATGATTTTCTTGACCTTCTCTTTGGAAGTGGGGTAGATTGAATTGGTGGCGGTGTTGCCACAAAGGAGATGTACAACAGAAGCCAGTGGGAATACTCCCATATATACATATATACATATATATCTTTTTTTTCCATGATCCGGTTTGCTTTTTTTTTTTTTTTTTTTTTTTTTTTCTGAAGGACGAGTCTTGGCGTGGGATTGATGGAGTCGTCATCATTTCTTCTTGTTGACGTTGGATTGTTGTTTGCTGGACGGGGTTCTTTTGACTAATATTTTGCAAAAGACATGTTTGATTCTTCTTTTTCTTTTTCTTTTTCTTTTTTTGGCTCTCCATCGCTTTTTCTGCGCATTTAACCCATGCACGGTTGTGCTTCTCCCATGACACACGACGACACCAAACGTCTTTGCCTGCTGAGCAAGAGAGAGGGTGCGGGAGATAAATAAACAAAAAAGCATTTACGAGAAATACGAATTTGTTGAAAAATTTGTCGTCATGACTGCGTTTCTTGATAACAAGCTGGAGTATCTCCAGAAACATAACATTGCACAACTCACGGAGCACATTGTGAGGAATATTATGGAGGATCTTCCGGAAAATCCAATCAAGTACGTCCATGACCTTCTGGAACGACCCATTCCCCCTCAGATCGTCATTGCGGGTCCACCTGGAAGTGGTAAAGGAACGCAGTGTCAAGCCATTGTAGAACGTTTTGGGGTTGTGCACATCTCCTCCGGAGATCTGCTGCGTGCAGAGGTGGCGGCCGGTACAGAAGTTGGCAAAATGGCCGAATCTTTCATTCACAACGGTGAGATGGTTCCCAACAAAATTGTTATCAACGCTGTTCGCAAGCGGCTGGAGCAAGACGATGTGAAGGAGCGTGGGTGGTTACTGGATGGCTTCCCCCGCTCACAGGATCAGGCGGAGGCGTTGGAGACTTCAGGCATCGTACCGCATGTCTTTCTCCTGTTGGAGGTACCCGATACAATCGTCGTGGAGCGCATTGAAAACCGCCGTACAGATCCGGCTACGGGCATGGTGTACCACCTGCTTTACAACCCGCCTCCGCCTGAGGACGTTGCTCTGTGTGAGCGCCTGATTCAGCGCGATGACGACCACCGCGAAACGGTGGAAGCCCGTCTGAGGGTTTACCACGAAAAACTCCAAGGCCTCAAGGAACACTATGGAACTTTGGTTGAAACAATAAATGGGGACCAAAGTATTCATGCAGTCACGGAGGGTGTCCTTGCGGTGGTGGAACGACGTCGTCTCAAGTAGATTAGTAATTTTCCCTTTTTTTTTTTTTTCTTTGATCCTAGTGTTGTTGTTTTTTGTTGTTGTTGTTGTTGTTTTTTTACTTTTTCCTTTCTTTTTTCGGGGGGGAGGGGGGAGTCTGTGTTTTCTTTATAAATATATTTATATATTTATATGTAGGGCTGGGGACAGTGTTAATTTTCCTTTTGCTCTGACGTGGGAGGGGGCGGGTGCAATTATTTCCAATGTATTAATTAATATACGTCGATGGTTAAATATCTTTTATTTTCTGCAAGAATGTACGCATGTAATCATCCTCTCTGTTTGTTGTGTGCTGGACGGTGCATTGTGGGCACCGCCATTCCATTTTGTCGATGTATAAAATTGGGATAGACGCGCACCTTTTTGTGGTTGGCGGTGTGGATGGGTGCAATGCGCACTTATTTCTTTTTTTTTTTTTTTTTTTTTTCTTTCTTGTTACGTCTCTGCTTCTGTTTTTATCCACAAACTATTTTCCCGTTGTTGTTGTTGTTGTTTTCTTTATTTTAAGTTTCTCTGGAAAAGTGCGGCAAAAAAAAAAGGAAAAAAAAAAGAGATTCATTCATCGAAGGACAACGGAGGCACAGCAGGAACAACAACAACGAAAAAAAAAAAGAAAAAAACACAAGCAACGCACGTGCTTCCGGTGCTCCGCACATTATTTTTTTTGTTTGTTTTGTATCTTTCCCTAACCCTTCACACAAAAACGGACACACACACACACAGAGAGAGAGAGAGAGAGGGAGGGAGGGAGGGAGGCAAACTAATAAAAAATGAGCTCACGGCGCGCCAGGCTGTCGCCGAGAAGTCAGCCCCAGCAAAGCTCAGCAAGAAGTTCCCGTGCTGGCACGCCGAGTCGGTGTCCCTGTTCACCCCCCACGTCTGCTACAAAACGTGGAAAAAAAAACCACCGTGTCTCTTCCGTAGGGCCTCAGAAATTTCGCAGCCGTGCGTTGGATGTGACACCACTTTTCACTGTGGAAGGTGCTGTACGCTACATCGATGTCATTAATGAACGTACTGCGTGGACGGTTGAGTGCGATGGCTCTATAAGTGTGCGGAGCATTCCAAAGGGAAACGAAATGAAACAAATTTCAGGACGAAAAGGTGTTTTTTGTACCTGCCTTTTGTTTGTTGGAAAAACAGGAAAGGTGTGGGCTGCCTTCAGTGATGGTTTTCTCCAGGTTTATGATGTAAACACCTTTTTATTGGAGAATACGTTTGTGCAGCACACCGGGGCGGTGGAATGCATCGTTGAAATGGAAGATCGTATTTATACAGGTGGACGTGACTGGAAAATATACCAGTGGATTCCAGAGATGTATTGCTACGAGAGACAATTCGCCGGTCATGGGAATACGGTCCGTTGTCTTTGCCCATACACCGGAAGCACAGGGGCGGTACTCTTTACAGGAAGTGACGACGGAACGGTAAAGGCGTGGAATCCATATCCATCAGTGAAGCAGTCCAAAGAAAACAATCCCTGCGTGCACACATTTGTGGGGCACACACGAGGGGTCTTATCTCTGGAGATTGTGGCTCCCAATAATCAACTATGGTCTGGTGGCGAGGACACCACCATACGTGTCTGGGACCTTCAAACTTTGGACTGTGTCGCTGTGTTGGAAGAACATAATTCACCCATTGCATGTTTGTCTGTCGTGGAGCACCGCGTCTGGAGCGGCGATAAGCATGGCCGCATTCTCTTGTGGGATCTCAGGACCCTCTCACCACTGCAGGAGCTCTCGCGGCAAATGCGGGTGGAGCATAGGTCGGTGTTTGCCATAAGAAAGATGCTGCAGACCGTTGTTTGGAAGGTATGGACCACAGGCTCTGCCGGCCACATTCACTGCTGGAATGCCGAGTCCATGCCCCTGGTATTTGACAGCGACACTCCCGGCGAGATGTTGCCGCACACAGACGAAGAGAATATGCGGGCACTTGAGGTAGATAATGAGGCTCTTCGGAAGGAGGTTGCAAGGTTGACAAGGCAGCTGGAGAAGGAAAGCGCACATGCCATTTCAGAGAAATTCAATGTGATGCAGAATCAGCAACTCATTATGGATACGAATGACGGTTTAAGACGGCAACTTCGCGAAACGCAGCGATTAGGAGCTGTTGGGAATGGTGGCAACACAGAACATGGAATTCGGTCGCCGTATACCGAATTGGGGTATCCACAGGCACCACGCCTTGATTTATCTATGCCATTCAGTGATGCATCACGCAACGGGGGAGAAATAGGGGGAAACGAGAGGGGTGAAGCGCCTTTCTGGGAGCCAATCACAATGTCAATTTATCGCAATGATGTCACGCCCATCATTACAAAGATTGAACAATTTTTTCCAGGCAGTGCTTGGTCAGAGATTCTGCAAGATTACGAAAATGAACTTCGCCAAACGTTTATACGTGAAGCAGCTCAGGCGCTAGGAGTCCCTGAAGAAAAATTGCAACATGTATCGATGGAACCCAATCCTCAGGGTCTTTTCGCCACAGTAAAAGTTCCGCACAGTTCGGACACAAGCGCCGAGGAACTTAAACGTCCTTTAAAAGCGCATCCTTTTGTGCCGGTTCTCAATCTGTACGGAGCAGCCTTGGCGAACAAAAACGAACGGCTCAAGGAAGCACTCATTCAAGCACACAATGAAAACCAATCAGCAAGTCGATCAATGCAAGATAATCCAAAAACTAAAACAGACGGTCCCTCTGCCATCATGGAAAAAAATGAGAAAATAGCTCACCTAAGCAATGAACTTGATAGTGTTAAGCGACAAAACGTGAGGCTACAGAAGGAACTTAAAAAAATAAATGAACAGTTGGCGGCGAGGGAGGCGCCGAACCGCATCAATGCGCAGGAGGAGTACGACGCGCTGAAGAGTTTTGTGGATAACTCTCTGAAGCCGTTGATATCGCGCCTGAAGCGCACGAACGAGGAGAAGGAACTTGACCTGCGGGCGAACGAGGAGCGCATCCGGCAGCTGCTGCATGACAAGGAGCAGCTTCAGAAACAGTTGGCGACGAGGGAGGCGCCGAGCCGCATCAATGCGCAGGAGGAGTACGACGCGCTGAAGAGTTTTGTGGATAACTCTCTGAAGCCGTTGATATCGCGCCTGAAGCGCACGAACGAGGAGAAGGAACTTGACCTGCGGGCGAACGAGGAGCGCATCCGGCAGCTGCTGCATGACAAGGAGCAGCTTCAGAAACAGTTGGCGACGAGGGAGGCGCCGAGCCGCATCAATGCGCAGGAGGAGTACGACGCGCTGAAGAGTTTTGTGGATAACTCTCTGAAGCCGTTGATATCGCGTCTGGAGCGCACGAACGAGGAGAAGGAACTTGACCTGCGGGCGAACGAGGAGCGCATCCGGCAGCTGCTGCATGACAAGGAGCAGCTTCAGAAGCAGTTGGCGGCGAGGGAGGCGCCGAGCCGCATCAATGCGCAGGAGGAGTACGACGCGCTGAAGAGTTTTGTGGATAACTCTCTGAAGCCGTTGATATCGCGTCTGGAGCGCACGAACGAGGAGAAGGAACTTGACCTGCGGGCGAACGAGGAGCGCATCCGGCAGCTGCTGCATGACAAGGAGCAGCTTCAGAAGCAGTTGGCGGCGAGGGAGGCGCCGAGCCGCATCAATGCGCAGGAGGAGTACGACGCGCTGAAGAGTTTTGTGGATAACTCTCTGAAGCCGTTGATATCGCGCCTGAAGCGCACGAACGGGGAGAAGGAACTTGACCTGCGGGCGAACGAGGAGCGCATCCGGCAGCTGCTGCATGACAAGGAGCAGCTTCAGAAACAGTTGGCGGCGAGGGAGGCGCCGAGCCGCATCAATGCGCAGGAGGAATACGACGCGCTGAAGAGTTTTGTGGATAACTCTCTGAAGCCGTTGATATCGCGTCTGGAGCGCACGAACGGGGAGAAGGAACTTGACCTGCGGGCGAACGAGGAGCACATCCGGCAGCTGTTGAGTAAATGCGGTCGATCATGGTCATTGTGTGCCCTCAATACTGGTGCATTTTTTATTCATTCGGAGGGGATGGAGAGTGATCGTCATGTTCTTTTGGACGCGTTGGTTGAAGCGGAGGAAAGTGCTCGTGTACGGGAGTCCGATCTTTTGGCCCTGGTGGATTCACTGCAGAATGTGGTCGATAGGTATGTTGTAGAGAAGGAGAAGTTGGTGGCTAGATTAGAGTCTTTGAACGGCGAGCTTAGTGAGGCCCTGAAGGAAAGAGATATGGCGATGTCTGATGGAAAGTTGTTAGAGGAGGAGTGTGCTGCTTTGCGAGATCAACTGCGTGGGGAGCTTCTCGCACAGATTCCCGTTGGTGAGCAAAAGCTTTTAGCGGCGTATTTGGATGAAGTGCAGCGCAGGCGGGAGTTGGAGAAGGAGATGTACCGTGGCCTTTCCAAACGGGTTAAAGCATCCTGGTGATGTGCGGGTTGCTTCCCTCTCTCTCTCTCCTTTTTCTTTTCTTTTTTTTTTTTTTTTTTTCTTTTCCTGTAAGAATCAACCGAATTGCTTGAGAAGATTAGTCATTTTGTTGAAAAAAAAAAAAAAAAAAGGAGAGAGAGAGAGAGAGGGAGAGAGAGGGAGATTCATACGTTGTATTGTGCTGCAGCAGAAGCAGAAGCAGCAGCTACATGATTGCCCTTTACAAACGATGTGTAGCAGAAAGCAGAAGAAGAAGAAGAAGACAAAAAAAAAAAAAAAAAAAGGAAAGGAAAGAAATAGGGGCATTATTAACACCGACAAAAGTTACTTTTGTAAAAACATCAAATGCTCGAATATCAGGCAAAAAGAGGAATAAATGTTTTTACATCCATTGCTGTTTGTTTTTATTATTATTATTATTATTATTGCTATTCCTGTAGTTGATTTTTCTTTGGAAAGGGTAAATGGGCTTTTTTTTTTTTTTATTATTTATTGTGGTCCCAAGAAGAGGGGAAGCATATTGCATCCTATACCAATGTATATATGTATTTATTTTTGTGTTGCCCTTCTTTGGAACCAGTTGCTCCTTTTTTTTTTTTTTTTTTTTTTTTTTGTGTGTGTGTGTGTGTGTGAGAGTGTGAGTGTGAGTGTGTGTCGCTGTTGTTTTTTGTGTGCGCATTGAGAACTCAATCAACACGACAAAATTTGCAGAAATAGAGCACGCAAGCTGCGTGTAAATAAATAATAATAATAATGGTGTTTTAGACCCCGAAATATCTGTTTTATGTGTATTTGTCTTTTCTTTGCCATTGTAACTGCCCCTTTTATTATTATTATTATTATTATTATTATTTTGTTTTTTTTTGTTTGTTTTTTTGTGATTACGAGTGAAGCAAGAGGAACACAACAAAGATAAGGACGCCGACAACTCTCCCAACGATAATATGTTCGCTCCTGCGGAGGTGTCTTCTGTTGGAAAGGGAGGGGAGGGGAACCACGACTGCCGCCGCGAACGTCGTTGTTCCGCAGTAGTTTTGATGATGGGTGGGCTACAAACCGAAGATGTCGAACTGCCCCCACCCGAGAGGCGATTGTGGCGGTCGCTCCGTTGCCGCTGAGGGCGCTCTTGTCCCCAGTCACATTTCGAGTGGGGACTTCACTTTTCAGGACGGTCAAACACCGAGGAAAGAACTGGCTGGTGTTCACACTTCTGCCCTGACGCAGCGAGGTTTATCGTCCGCAGTGCCGTCGAATTCCCTTTTGAGCTTCTCGCACGATGTAGTGGCCGCAGGAAATGGAATGCCACCGTCCGTGTCTCCTGCTTCTTCAGAAAAAAAAAAAAGTTTTGGGTACTTCTGGCGGCGGTGGCAGTGTCGAGGGTACATTAAATTCCGCCAACAGGTCGGATCAAGGTCCCACCGGCACCTCCGTAAAAGGGAATACAAAGCCTTTGGTGCCACAGCAACATGTTACTAAATGCCAGCTAACACCGAATGATACTGCCGCTTCGGGTCTCCTCGTGTCACCACGCCTGAAACACCCTGGAATGAAAAAAATCCGGTGTGCGCGTCCGTTGGTGCTGCTAGACAATCGCGTGAACGGATGATATCGGCCGAAAACTTCACTGTAATACAACCGGAGGGAAGCTCAGACCGCTCTTCCCACCACAAAGGGAAAGCGGGAGCGATAAGAAGGGAAAGAAATAAAAGCGGAAGTTGACGTGGCCCTCAGTGCCGTTAATGACTCTAGAGCCTCTGGAAATGGGGCGGACAATCCCTCCGAAGTATTAGCCGGGCAACCACGGAATGCGGAGGAGGGAAGAACGGCAGAGGCACAGACGACTCGCTTTTCTAACGCGGCAGCCCCTCAGCGATGAAAACTGATTGGAAAAAAGATGCCCCCAAGGGAGCCACTACGGGCTGCGTAGTGGGCAAACCAGCTGCTGGATCTTTCAACGGCTCAGCATCACCGGTGAAGCAAAATGCTGCGCCAAAACACACCGGCGTTGAAAGGAATCTGGCCATTCCTGATTATTTTACCGATGCAAATGGCGACCGAAACACACCCACCACCGCGGAGTATTCCTCTTGCACCGTCATGCACGAATGCGACATGTCGCGCTAAACTGTCAAAACGGATGTGAGCGACAAAACCACGCATGTGCGTCTGTCAGTGGTGTATGCCCTTTCCGCGCTGGTCATTGCTACCGTGGCCTGAAGGAGAAACATGTGTACTACATTTAGATTGTTATATATATATATATATATAGTCTTCAATCCGCTGTTGGCTTTTCTCTATTTGGAGAAAAACTGCGGTTGTTTTTTTGCCTTTTTACCTGCTTCTACTGCTCTCTTGTAAGCTCTGTGCTGCCTCGCACATCCGTCACGGAACACGTGCCCCAGGCAGACTCATTTGCGTGACGCCCACGCACACATACGCATGGCGGTGCGACCATGGATTTATACTGGTGTTGGTGGGTTGCGCGTGCATTGGGGCCATTGGGGATAGCACTGTATTTTGTTTTACGGCGTCATACTTGTGTGTTTGTGCGCCTTCTTGTTTGTTTTTGCATTTATTTTTTTTTTTTTTTTTTGTATTTTTGATTGTTGTCCATCATTGGACTCCGCGCGATGGGTGAGTAGCGGTGCGTGCTCTGCGGGCAACTGCGGCAAAATTCTCTTGGAGCTCACTGTATGTGCGTTCCCATGTCTTTCGTGCGGGATGTGGATTTTTCTCTTTCCTTTACTTTTGCTTATTTCAGTCAACAGGTCTGTGTGCCCCTGGCGTCATGGCGGCGGAGCTTGCCCACATTGTGAGGAAAAAGGAGGGTATCCTTGCTTTGGAACCCCACCTTGACCGCCGTGTCGTGATTGTACTGGAAGGGAAGGAGATACACGGCATCCTGAAGGGGTTTGACAACAACATCAATCTTGTCATGGCAAGTGCAGAGCTGTGGGTCAAGGATGCTCTTTTAAGGCGCATTGGCGCGTGCGTCGTCCGTGGTGGCTCGCTTGTCAGCGTCTCCTCCGGCGACACCACCATCCTGCAGCACAACCCTTTTGAATAGCCCACACAGATATGAATTACGCACGTATTGCTACTCTCCACCGCGGCACTGTGTCAGCAGCCAGAAAGGCCATTCCCACCAGCGAGCGGCAAACAGGGGAGAATGGTGGAATCAAATAACATCATTACAGCACACACCTAGGGAGTAAGGAGGAGGAAACAGAAAAGCAGAGTTATCAGGCAAGGCCACTCCCACTACGCCTTGCTGCTCGCCTTTGATTTCGATGCGATTTTGCAGCTCACTGGTGTACGGCCTTTTTTTTTTTTCTTTCCCACTCTCATTTTTTGTGCAAATACACATACCACCAACCCCTGGTGAAGATCAGAAATTTTTTCTGACTGCTGTTAGCCGTGACGCTTTCACGCTCTGCGTACCTTTTTCTCCCCCCGTTGCCACTGCTTCTTTGTGGGCCATTCCCCACCACAGAGGATTTACAGCCTTATTTCAAGCTCCACAAAAAAAAAAAAAATTTTTTTCAAAAAACTAAACTGACAAAAACTTTAACAATGCGTCGGCCACTTTTCACCACAATCATTACGTTGTTGTCGTTGCAGCTGCTGGGCTGCTCCATTGGCTGCCTCGCTCTCTCGCCCACCGCGCACCGCTGCATGTATGATGAGATAATGAAGGAGGTCAGCTTGCCCAAGCCCGCAATGGTGCGGGAGTTACCCCGGAAAGGTCTGGGCGCATGGCAGACGTATACCGCGTCCACAGAAGAAGACGATGCAGGTGTCTGGGCGCCTATCCGAATCGTGGTGTCGGAGAAAGATTTGAATGACCCCAGTAAGTACTGCACCAAGATGGGAGAGCCCCGCCCAACATTTCTGGGATTTGACAAAGAATGCCAGCTGCACGACATCCTTACCAGCCGAACAAGGGCTGAGCTTCTCCAAAATATTTTTCCGGCCGCCATCAAACTGCACTCGGATCGCCTTTCCGTCCGGCCGAAGTCTTCTCCGTTGATCGTGCCCAGATCCATCAAAGAGTCTCCCTGCAAGCATTTCAGCGTCCCTGAGGAACATTACACAACCGGCGTTGAGGACGCCGACGCGGTGATCTACTTGGCTGCTGGGACACACTTTCCGTTTGCCGTCTCGTGCCTTGCTGCTGAGAAGGACGTTCGTCCGACCGTTGGCGCCATGAGCTTTGGCATTTCAGGCCTTCATCACAGCTGGTTTGCCGTTCGTGTAATTGCGCACGAGCTCGCGCATGTACTTGGGTTCAATTACGAACAAATGCGTGCCCAGAATATGCTCAGCAGCGTTTCCATCAACAGCTTTCAGCAAAAAAAAGGGATTGTGACTTCCGTTCTCACGAAGCAGAAGGCTGTAGAACACTATAATTGCAAAGGCATTGAAGGTATGCCGATGAGAGACGAATATAATGATAATTTACGGATGCACTCGCACTGGGATCGGCGGTACGCGAAGGACGATCTGATGAGCTCTATGGTTACTTCTGGTGCCGGGATCTACACCGCGGTGACGATGGCTGCATTTGCGGATATGGGTTTTTTCAAAGTGAACTTCAGCATGGCAGAAACGATGAGCTGGGGCAAGGGTGTCGGCTGCAACTTCGTTAACCAAAAACAGTGCATGCCAGACGACTACAAAAATTATCCCGAAATGTTCTGTCACCGCGACACCAGCGACACAACGCGTTACTGCACATCCGACCGCGTTCACTTGGGCATCTGCAGTTCCTTTGCCGATGATCAATGCTTGTTTATCCAGCCGATGGGTTTTGGCTCCTGCCGCGATACGACCTCAGTCTTGCACGGAAGCCGCATGGGAACAAGCTCATGGTGCCTTGACGGAGAGTCTCTCAAAGTGAATGAGGAAGTGCTTGAAACTAAACCACAAGTGGTTTCTGTTGGCGGTGTGTGCGTGGAGGTGTTTTGCGGCAGGAAAGAAGTCAGTGTACGTTACCTTGGCGACGATGACTGGCACGAGTGCCCCGAGGGTGGAAAAATCTTTCCTGCAAACACATCTGTTGACTTTGCCGAGGGCTACATAAAGTGTCCCAGATATGACGAGGTGTGTACCATCACTCCCAGTGGCAGGAGTGGCATCCCCTTTCATGAGAACGGATCTATCCACGACGACTCTTCTACCCGAAAATAAATGAGTTAACACCGGCAACGAGTCTACATTTGCTGTTGTGCTCGCTTTCGTTCCTTTTTTGTTGCTACTACCGCGGCAGGGGAAACAAAAAAGTCACATTGGAAGCAACTCTTTGAAACGAGCCGAAACGCAACAATTAGTTTCTCATTTATCATGAAATGCATGTGTGATGTATAATCTTTTTTTGCCTTTTTGCTTTTTCTTTTTTGATTTCTTTTTTGATTTCTTTTTTGGTTTTTTCTTTTTTATTTTTGTTGGGTTTTGAAAGATGATACATTGGCACATGGATATCCGCCAAATATGCCTATTAATATTATCTGCGAGCTTGTGGGAGGACTTGTCTGGCACTACGGGTATCCGGTATTTTTTTTTTTTTGCTTTTTGTTTTGTTCTCTTACCAGCGCGTCTAGCTATACAATGCCATCTGAGTGCCGAAGAGGTGCTCGAGCAACGACAAAAGTTTCCTGCTATGAAGCAACTGCCATTGAGAGAACTTTTCGGTGCGGAGGTCCTGTTCAATGCCCAGCCGTTGGCGCACAGCCAACGTGCCTGGACATTCCAGAAGCAGATGGTGCAAGGTTTCCTGCGGGCCAATTGGCGTGCTTGTGGAAGCTGGCTGATCCTGCGGCAGCAGAGATCGCCTCCTGGCACTACTGTTTAGATGCCGTGTGGCGTCTGGGTTGTGTGCGCAGCGATTTCTGTGCTGTGCGGTGCTTCTCCGTGTGGGGAAAACCATGTCACAAAAATCGCATTTGAGCTCGGGAAACGGTGGAGGATGTTCCGGATGAAATGACCGACAGTGACTGACGAGATTCGAGAATCCCGTCAATGTAGAATCGCAGTACGGACATTTCTCCTTCCGAAGGCGTGTGACGGCTCGTCTCCTTACTGGAGAGACGTCTTCCTCCCTTGCCGGCAGGGGAACAGAGTCCGTCCCCGGTGCAGTTGGATCATTGTTAGAGTGCATATATGCAGACTGTTCTGGTGAGATGTTGCAGAAACGGCATTGGTTCGTGCAATCTCTCACAGCCCAGTATGGTCGGCCCCAGAGCTCAGATTCCCCCCACCTTGCCCTTGCGAGGTGAACCAGTTCTTGACGGTGAAGAACTTCCTGAGTGATCAGGTCCTTACCGCTGAGATCTGATGGCCTTGTGCCGCAAAGCAAGTAGCGATGAGTGTCTTGACGAATCGTACTACGCCACTTATTGGTGAGCTGGGTAGTAAAACATGTCAGCAGATCCGTATGCCATAAAGGTGCGATTCCATTTTACGTGTATTGTCCAGTTTCCATAGTCTGCGTCGAATACTGATCTGCAAGCTCGTTAGCATGTACTCCACAATGTCCGTAACAAAACTGCAGGTGCACGGACCAGCCAGCACACGTCAGTGTTAAGAGACGCTGCCAGATCTGATCCTCCGTCCAGTCGGTCTGACTGAGCGGGCCCTCAACAAAGGGCTGCTGGAAGAGACTGACTGTCTGTAACCACAAGCAGAGTTTTGTGCCTGTGCTGGATGCGAGGTATAATCAGCTTCTCTAGGGCTAGAAGCAGCGCACGGGATTCCGTCCTGTAGCTGCATGGGCGTGCACCGCAGTTTATACTGGCCTTTTCTATTATCTCCGATGAATTGAGGGATGAAAGCAGTATTCCAACCCCGGCTGAATTAGGAACGTCTACACCGCCATCCGTCGCGAGTATCCACGAACGATGGCTGTGCAGCGCTAGAGCCTCTTCGCTGACTCTGCGCTTTTCCCGTATCAGCTCTTCCTCGTCAGTTATTGAGTGGTCTATCTGAAGTTCCACGCCAATGGTGACCCGGTGAGCGGAGGCCGCAAACCAGGGAGGAATGGAGCTGCGAAAGTAACCGCTTTTCGCGTGGTGAGATCTGAGTGATGCCATAGTCCTTTGTGTATGCGTCTACAAAGCGGTGGTGGTCTCATGTAGGCACTCGCTACAATAAGATCACGGTCCTTGTCCAGAGCAACCTGGACCACCACCACTTCAAGGCTGGTGTCATGCTGGGGGATGGTGAGAGGTACACGCTTGGAACGGAGAGTTTTCCGCACTAGCACCGCCACACCGCCTCCCTTGCCGATGCGCGACTGTGCATGGAGCACATAATCTCCAGTATGCATGCTGGCGATCTGCTCCGACGACTTCCAAGTCTCCTGGATGGCTATTATGTCTGCTCCTTGCGCCATTAATGTTGCGAGTTTTGACGGCGTGAGGCAAGAAACGTTCATCTGGAGTACTGCTATGGGGCCTGGGTTTTGCTCAATGTCTCCGCTTAGCAGTAGCTCATGTCGTTGCGCGTCACTTACGGCACGCAAAAGGTATGTATAGCGCTGATAAGCGCCGATGGAATTCAGCAGCGGATGGAAATACCGCTCCGCGGGCAGCCATGTACATGGCTCCAACATCTGGTGCCCTTCCGACCCGTTTGAGCGGCGCCTCCTGCCTCTCCGCGCACAGCGGATGGGCAGCAGGCACTTCGCTTTCTCACTAGCAAAGAGTGCTTTACCCTGGCACCACGTTGAGGTGGTTGGCAGCGCCAGACTTGCCTTTGTGTCATGTTGTGTTACTTTTTAAAATATGTGGTTTCTGTAGTTTATGTTATGATTGGATTTTTTTTTGCTGTTTTTGCCTTCTTTTTTTTTTTTTTTTTTACTTACCTCTTGCTCTGTGTCTGCGGGGGGGGGATGCAATTGACGACAGGGACAAACGGAAGAAATAAATTTTTTGTTAGGGCGTCGCTGGTGTACATATATATATATATATTGACACCACAACGCTTACTCACCTCTCCAAGCGATGTTTTTGCGTAGTCGCTCATCCTCTCCAGCTTCTCGTGTCCGGTCATCATCCCTGCGGTCGGTTTCCCCAACGAGTGAGCGATGGGACAAGACGATTTCGACTTACTCTATCGCCGGTACCGCACGGTCGGTGGAATACGGCGGCAATTTGCGTGTGTGGACAGCAGAGATGGATGGCCGCATTGTGATACGTGCAGCTGCTCGTGGGGAAATTCTGTTTGAAGCGAGTGCACGGGAATCGGCGTTTTGTACCGTCTTGCGAAAGGTGTCAGCAAGGCAAATATGGGCAGCCTTTTCGGACGGGTTTATTCGGTGTTACAACAGCACAAATGGAAATATGGAACATGAATTTGTGCAGCACGATGGCGCGGTCCGTTCCCTCGCAAGCTCTCCAGTGAGCGATTATGTGTATAGTGGTGGGGACGATTGGAAGGTATACCAGTGGTCCAAGTCGAGGTGCACGTATATTCGGCTCTTTTCCGGACATTCAAACGGAGTGCAATGTGTTCTTGTAGTTCCTAGTACCACCAATGCTGGTGCTGTGTATGCAACTGAAGATATTTTAGAGGAGAACGACGAGGATGGCACAATCGAAAACTCTCTTCCTAGTGTTGTTGATGGAGAACTGAAGGATGAGTTTGTTCTTTCCGGCGGGGATGACATGACCATTAAAGTGTGGGACCCAATGGCACCGCTGCAGATTGAAACGGATGAGGCATGCCTGGCGACGCTGCGGGGCCACAGCGGTTCGGTTCGCGCCATCGAAATACACCCTCGCAGCGGTTATTTATGGTCCGGAGGGGATGACTGCACCATCCGGGTGTGGAATTGGTGCAGCGAGGAGACACGACGTTGCGTGGCGACTTTACGCGGGCAACACAGTGGCCCCATCACCTCTATTGTCTACATTGCCCCGCGCATGTGGAGCAGCGGGAAGGACGGCTTTGTTGTGGTGTGGAATACGCGTCAGCTGGCTCCGCTGCAACGTCTTCGACTTGCCCCACGCAGCGTGAACTGCCCCTTTTTGTCCATGCGGCGGTTGTACCGCGCCATGCACTGGGCAGTGTGGCTGGGCGGGCCTGAGAGCACAATTCACGTCTTGCATGTTTCGGAGGAGGAGCATGGCGCTGGCGCGGTGCTTCGCCGACGCGAACGCCGGCGCACGCTGGAGAAGCGTAAGTTCCCAAAGTCACGAGAGTATCACTTAGCCCGGAAACCGCATTTGATTAGGCTGAGGGAACGCCGCAAGGAAATTGAAGAGCAACTGAGAAAGTACAGGGCGTGTCCGCAGGAGGAAAATATTCTGATACCAGAGAGAGGCGCGGCTCGCGTCCGTGGTGGCACACCGAGCGGTGGCTCCGAAGAGGACGCACGGATAGCAGAAATAGAAGTTCTGCGGGCAACGGTGGCGGAGTTGGAAAATCAGGTGAAAGCCCATGAGGAAACGATAATGCGGACCTCATACATTGCAAAGGAGAAGGATGGAGTTATTCGGTCGCTTACAAGACAGTTGTCTGAAAAAGACTCGGAGTTACGAAGAATGGAGGAGGAGCTCAACAGAAGAATGACGCGTCATGCGTCGTCCCAAGAAGTTGGCAGGACAAGACCCACAGAGAAAGAGCGCGAGTTGCAGGAGGGCCGTGATGAAAACACTGAAGGCAATGTGGTCTTTGATCCATACAAGGATGTAGAGCAGCTGCAAGCGCAACAAAAACTGGAAGTGGAGGACATGAGACGCCAGCTTTTGGATATGCAGAAATACAAGGAATTGTGGGAAGAGAAGGATAACGAGCTTCGTCAGGCCAACGAAAAGATTGAGAAATTGCAAGCTAGTCTGGACACTGAGAGGAACTTCAACAGCCTCACTCGGGAACTCTCACGGTACTCAAAAGAACACACGACACCTGTTCCCTGTAGGAAGCAAAGCAAAGTTCATTCGCTGCCATACACGCCCACAACACACCACTACTACAAGCGAATCTTCGGTACATGCTGGCCGGACCTAGAGAAAGAATACCAAAAAGACCTCAAGGAAACACTTTGGGCGGAATACATTGACTTGATAAGCAATTCAGACGCCATAGTTAGAGAAATCACATACACCACGGCAAATGACTGTCTTATTGTGGATGCCACAATTGAAAGCAAGGAAAAAGAGGGTCAAGAAATACAGAACCTTATCGAGAGCCACACATTTTCCAGGACTCTTGCACTTCATGGCATACTTGCTTCTTCGTTTCTTGTAAGCACACCAGGCAACGGCAACATCTCCGACGAACAGTACGAGGCAGTTGCGGCAGCCAAGGCGAAGGCGGAGGCGGAGCGCGACGACGCGCGGCAGAAATTGCGTGGGGCGGAAGAAGGACTGGAGTCCTTCCGCCGGCAGGCAGAGTCGCGTCGAGCCCAAATTGCAGGACTGCAGTCGGCGGCGAGCTCCGCGAGACCCACAGCGTCCAGCACGCGGAATGCGGCGCCCCCGCTCTACACTGTCACCGCCGAGGAGTACGAGGCAGTTGCGGCAGCCAAGGCGAAGGCGGAGGCGGAGCGCGACGACGCGCGGCAGAAATTGCGTGGAGCGGAGGAAGGACTGGAGTCCTTCCGCCGGCAGGCAGAGTCGCGTCGAGCCCAAATTGCAGGACTGCAGTCGGCGGCGAGCTCCACGAGACCCACACCGTCCAGCACGCGGAATGCGGCGCCCCCGCTCTACACTGTCACCGCCGAGGAGTACGAGGCAGTTGCGGCAGCCAAGGCGAAGGCGGAGGCGGAGCGCGACGACGCGCGGCAGAAATTGCGTGGGGCGGAGGAAGGACTGGAGTCCTTCCGCCGGCAGGCAGAGTCGCGTCGAGCCCAAATTGCAGGACTGCAGTCGGCGGCGAGCTCCACGAGACCCACACCGTCCAGCACGCGGAATGCGGCGCCCCCGCTCTACACTGTCACCGCCGAGGAGTACGAGGCAGTTGCGTTTTCTCGAATTGGTGCACGAGAGAGTTATTGTCGTCCAGAGTCTTCAAATTGGGTACGATATCATTACAACCTGGGGGAAGCTTGTGTTTACCTTGTAAGGCATTACCGTCAGTTGGTTGAGGATGTTCTTTTATTAGAGTTTTCTCGTGCAACTCGCCTTCCTATTGATTACAGTCGCCGTGTGGAGTTTGTATCTGGGGGCTTGGCTGCGGAGTTTTATGCGTGCCCCAGCAAGGACACTGTGGACGTTGATTTTCTTCTGCGGCGACATTCGTTCAGTAGACTGGCCTCACTTATGCAATTGAGTGGCTCTGTAAAAAACCAGTCGCTTTGTACTTGTTCCAGTGAAGCGACAGTTGCAAATGTTTCTCCGGTGATGGCTAACGAGATGGCGCAGCCAAATATCCGAATGGCTTCTTTGGGATCACAAAAACTGATTTCTGGGCCATGGAGCTTGCAAGATTCCAACCACGCCTCCATATTGAAGGAGTTGGAACTGTTTCGCAGCCGTCGTGCTCTTGCTGGTAGTATGCGTCGGTCGGAAACTACGCTAAATGTTTCCTTTGATTTACCAAACAGAATTAATCCAAGTGCTTCGGTGGACTCGTCCGAACTACAACGCGAGCCCGTTTATTGTGTCACTTTAGATGAGTATCATGCTTTACTGCAGCAGCTTACCAATGCATATCGCACCCTAACAGACGACGATGATGAAAATGAGAACGGCACTCGGCTTTGGAATGAGCACGTGGTTGCTAGAGCTGAGGAAGAGCGGAGATTTACTCGTCAAATGTCTCGATTGGAGCCGTGGTATGCTGATAGTGGTGGTAGCAGCAAAAAAAAGCACTAATGGAAGGATGATGAGGCGTAAATACATATATATTTTATATGTTTGTATTTTTACTTATATTTTTGTATGTATACAGAGGAAAGTTTCTGTATATCATCGCTTTTTTTTTTTTCCTGCGTATTGATGTTTTACACTATCCCTGTATATCCAATTACTTCCACAAATACTCTGCTTATTAGTAGGTCTCCCGTTGCTATGTAATGAGATGAAAAGAAAGGAGAAGGTTGACAAAAGGTCGAGAACCACCATAATCAAAAGAGCCTTGGAATAATTCCGTCTTTTTGTTTCAGTGAACGTAGTGAGGAGAAAGAAAAAGAAAGAAAA